TTTAGGCCAATGCTGGTTGAGGAAATCCCTCCTGAAGTTTTCATAATGAAGGCCCTGCTCTGTAATCCATGAAAAGCTCTCCACCAGCATGTGCTGAGCAGGACAGACAGACACAAAACTACTACAAATTGTGTCTTGATCCACTAGTTCTTATCAGCTCTGAGGTCTGATAGGCCAGGTTTTAATGTGGAAAGACTCCAGCACTTCAATCCCACACTAAAATAATTGCATGGCAAAAAGGAGATTAACTGAAGACAAGTACCAGTAACACAAACACAAAAACATTCAGTGATACCATCTTTAAAAAGTCTTACAAAGTGTGCAGTATCAACCCCTCAATAAAGTATATAACAACAATTTTTAAAGAAAATATTTTAAAAAATCTCAAAGACCCCAAAAAACCATAACCAGTGGGGTTTTACTCTCGGTTATTTAATGCCCCTTTTCACACTGCACTTGAGGACCCTGGTTTTAAAGAGCACAAATTAACTGCTAAACACAAAGAACCCTGCCAGGCTGAGGCCAGGTTAATTCCAGTCCACACTGCTGGGATAATGGCAGCTGCTTCTGCATCCCCAAACCCAGCCCTGTGCCAAAGCCAGCCCCAAGCTGCAGCTCCCCTGCCCTGCACGCAATAACCTGCACACTCTGCAACATGAAATTAATTAGACTGGAGGAATGGTAAAGAAACAAGATGTAAAACCTGATCCAGCACCTCCTTCAGCCACGCTGCCAAGGATCAGCTCTCCAGGCAGGGTTACTTCCCATATAATATTTTTCCCTTCTTCAATATGTACAGATGCACTTCTGGTTTTGTGTTGATTTTTAAAGATATTTTAAGGCAGCAGTTTGCAGCTTAACATAATGGGAGAAGCCAAAGACATTTGGCAGACAATAAAGCAAACTTGCATATTCACAGGCAGTTCCAGGATTGGCTGAAATCAGGGAATAAAGGTCAACATTTTTTGGTTAATTCTATTTAAAGCTCCGTGAATTAGAAGATTTGTGCAGCAAGTTCTGCTGCAGAGTATTTTCTATGTGATTAACTAGCAGAACAATCACAGTGGAAAGTCTCCCAGTATTCCCAGGGCTCCATCCAGCCCAGAATCCTGCAGGAGCCACAGCAGCAGAATATTCTAATAAGAACTCTCCTAATCTTCACCCAGCAATAATTTCAAGATGATATTATTATTCTCATTTCCTTGAATAATATCCATACTCCAGGGCCATTTTCCTTCTCATATTCAATATGGGGCATGCTCCTATCAAGATTCCTTTCTTCATATCCTGTCACGGTATCAATCACTGCCTGCTGTCCACTCAATCCACTTTTGATTTATCAGCCGCCGTCTTCCTGGACTCCATAACTCGACCCAAACCATTTTAGCAAGACAGTGACAAATAACACCCAGGATCACATCAACCTGTTCCACTTAGTAAACTAAGGAACAGGAACTGTGACATCCCTCCATAAGTATTCCCTGCTATTCCCCAGCCTGATGTATATTAATGAGGAGCTGCTATTTGAAATGCTCCTTCCACATCAGCATCTAATATGATCAAATTAGGAAATGGGATGATTTATTAAATTCCGTGCAGCTGAAATATTCCTTCCCAGCTCTGGATGCCTGGCTGCAGAGAGGGAGCTGTTGCTTCCAATTTTTCCACAGGAGGATGTGCCTGCGCTTCGCAGACGAATTATTGGCTTTAAAAAGATTGTGAGGAGGCGAAATGTTATTAAGCAAATGCTCAGTAAAACAAACTAAATCGGTTTTAAAATTCCTAATTTAATGTAAATCTTGGTTGTTTCTGCTGAAATTCAGTTTGTGATCTTATTAAGTCGTATTTGCATTGTACTCCCTCACTGTAGGACAGCTTGGAATTTATGGCATTACTGGGAAGCTACACTTTTTTGACTTTAAAAATGCATCTAAAATAGAATAATTATAATATGCACAAGTTTTCTTATCTTCTCAAATGAAACACAACCACTACTGGGAAGCTCCACTTTTTTCACCCTAAAAACTGCATCTAAAATGAAATAGCCAACACACACACAGGTCTCTTATCTTCTCAAATAAAACACAACTATTATTAGGAAGCTCCACTTTCTTTAACTCTAAGAATGTATCTAAAATAGAATAATTATGATATGCACAAGTTTTCTTATACTGTCAAAAAAGTACAAGCAATACTGGGAAGTCCCACTTTTTCACCCTAAAAATGCATCTAAAATAAAATAATCACAATATGCACAAATTTTCTTTTCCAATAAAGCACAAGAAATCAGTTCAGGTTGCAAACAACACCTATTTAAAATATCTTACACATCTCATTATCAAACCCCAACTTTTCAAAGTAAAACTTGATCTAGCTCAGTGCTCTGCACTGCTGGAGATCTGTAAATCACCTGCTCAAATAAAACACCTGTGTTAGAGAAGTTATTAAAAAACACATTACTTTTAACACCACCTTCACTACCTTGAAAACCACATTAAAAGAGGATTGTGGGGAGAAAAGACATTACAGGATACAGAATCTGTGCCACCTGCATGATTTACAGCAAAAACAATTCCAGGCATTTAAAGAGACCATGTGAGAGACCCGAACTTCCAACGGGAAGGGAATTTTCCAGAGGCAGACTCCTAATAAATAAAATAAAATTTACAAATGGCACTTGCTGGGCTCCTAAAGGGGATAATCCTGTGAGGGTACAAACGCAGGGCTCATCTCCCCTTTGCAGGTGGGAGCAGCTTTGCCTGCCTCCCTGGCAATGCAGAAGCTGGAGATCCCCAGGAATATTCCCCTGGATAAGCCATTCCTCGCCACAGGAACACGAGGGGCTGCCTGAGCTCCTCTGGATCCTTTCATTAATTATTTACAAGTGGTTTCTTCAGGATTTCCCTTGAAAAACCAGAGGAAAATAAGTTGTGCCACCAGGAACAAATAAAAACCCGGAATTACAGCTGGAATTCCTGAGAATTCCAGGCCAGCACTACAAACACACACATTTCCCAGGACATTGTCACACCTGCCCCAGGTGGGCAGAGATGGGAACCCTCAGTCCTGAGCCACCTTTTCCCACCATTTTATTTTTAGGTTTATTTTTTCTACCCCTCCATCACATTCCCTCTCTCCCCCACAATCTCTTTCCCAGCCTGGGGAATCCCAAACCCCTTGGAAAGCTGGTGAGCCCCTGGGCTGAGTGATTTCGAGGCAGAAAAGGGATTATTTGGCACCACTGACAAGCAGGGCAAGCACAGGCCTGGAGTAGCAGCTTTGTGCTAAACCAAGATTTAACTCTCCAAAAATCAGATTCATCCAGAGCTGCTCAGTGCCACACTACAGCAGACTTGGATTAAATTACAATAAAGGATGGGATGTGTCCTGTTGGGTTTAACTGAAGCTTTTGGGCTCTTGTGGGATCATTTGGGATGTTATTTAGCAGTATTTTCCCTCTGTGGGTGTGAATAGGACCAGCAGTTAAAGGAATGTGCAGCTCTAGTGCTGCACACTCAATACATGAAATGTTTGATACATAAAATATTTAATACATAAAATATCTGATACATCAAATATTTGATACATCAAATACATCAACTATTTAATACACAGTATTTGCCAGCACTAGCCAGGTTTCTCAAGTTTTTAGGTGCCTCATATCCATATATTGTAACCATGATTAAAATCAAATCCCTTGGAAAAGATGACCACTGAACCACAGCTAGTGAGAGCTGCAATTTGTATTTATTATATATTATTGTATGACCATTAAACCATAGTTAATGAGGTCTGTAATTTATTACATATTGTTTTATTATAATAAAAAAAAATTAAATCAGTTTATCACACTTCCTAACACTGAGTATGTGAAAAGCCTTCCCTTTCACCTCATTCTTCTGACATTTCTGTGGGTTCAAACTGATTTTCTTAGCAAAGAAAAATGGGTATTCACTGCACAGGAACAGCTGCACAGCTCTGATGGGGAGGATACTCCAGGAGAGGTCAGGCAGTTTAATTTCTAAATTTATTTCTAACTCTAAATAATCAAATTTCTACTACAAAGGCACTGCAGCAATAAAGGGTCCAAGGAACTCTTCCAAGGAACAGCTGGGATAAGTCATAGCACAGCACAAAGGAGGGAAAGGGGAATATTCACAGCTTTCAACAACAATTTTTCAACATTTAGAGGCAACAGCTCTGGTTTGGACATGGAAAGCAAAGGTTTAACAATTCCTTAGTGCAGGCACATGAAATGACCTGGCTGAAGATTTTAAATATGGACCCAAACAGCTCTGATCTGCCTGATCCACTCAATAATTAATTTAAAATCAATATGAAATGCTAATGGGAAACCTGGTAGCCAGGATAAACTTCAGTTAAACCTCTTAATTGAAAAATACACACAAGCACAACCTGAGCATCTTCTAATTAAAGAAGAAAAGCAGATTTTATAATACCTTTTGCAACTACTGGTTAAGATTTAAATATTTTAATTCTGAAATACTTGTTTGTCACAAACCAATCCATGCAAACTTTCACTCCAGACAACCTTAAATATTAATAAAAGACTGCATAACTAAAGACTCACCCTTTTCCAAGAGGAACACAGGTGAGAAAATCAGTTTATTCTGAACCTCAGGGAGCCAGTGTTATGTGTGGGAATTATGGAAAGCAGGAACAAAAGGAAAAAATCCACAAGACATTTCCAAATAATTGTATGACACCAAGAGACCCTATTTATGGTTTTCTTTGCTTGAATCAAATGCAAGATAAGTATCTTATCTTCAAAACTGTTTCACCAGGGTAACTGAAAGATTTAGTGTGTGGTAAGCACTCCAGAGACCCCACATCAGGAATTTCCAGGCACGTGTGGTTCAAACCATCACCTGCAGCCATTATTCCCATTTATCCCAAGCTCAGTAATTATGGCAGGATTTTCCAGCAATGTTTTTCCAGCAGAAATACCACTGTGGTTTTTTCCTAGGGGAGACTCTTACCTCCTGGTCCTGCTCTTGGACCTGGACCTTTGGGACCTGTAGGATTTGCCTCTGCCCCGGGAGCGGCTGCGCTTCCTCCTGGAGCCGTAGGAAGAGCTGCTGCTGGATCTGTGTCTGCGCCTGCAACAGAGCAGGGGTGAGCCTGGCCCTGCCAGAACCCCAAACAGGAACAGACCTCCAGGATTCCCCAGGAAACACAGCCAGGGGTGAGCCTGGCCCTGCCAGAACCCCAAACAGGAACAAACCCGTAGGATTCCCCAGAAAACACAGCCAGGGGTGAGCCTGGCCCAGCCAGAACCCCAAAAACAGGGACAAACCCAAGGACTGCTCAGAAAACACAGCCAGGGGTGAGGCTGGCCCTGCCAAAAACCCAAAAACAGCAACAGACCTCCAGGATTCCCCAGGAAACACAGCCAGGGTGGCCCTAACAAAAACCCTAAAAACAGGGACAAACCCTCAGGAGTCCTCAGAAAACACAGCCAGGGGTGAGGCTGGCACTGCCCCAAACACCCCTAAAAACAGGGACAAACCCTCAGGAGTCCTCAGAAAACACAGCCAGGGGTGAGGCTGGCACTGCCCCAAACACCCCTAAAAACAGGGACAAACCCCCAAGGATTCCCGAGAAAACACACACAGACTTGGGGGGTTTTAGGGTGCCCCAGAAGCCTCAAACCCCACTGTTCCCCCATAAAAGTAACTCACACACACAGGGACACTGCAGCCTAAAGAGCTGATCCTCCAAAATCCACATGCCGGGTAAAAAATGAAATTTGGGTGGGGACCCTAACTACTATTAGTAGTACTAAGTTAATCAGGGTTAATTTACTTCCTTTGAGTTCATTTAAGGGCAGTTCCCTCCTGAGTCCAATCAGAAATCAGAAATCAAAAGGGTCTCTTCCTTTGCAAATCCCTCCCACTTCTGTCTGTTCAAAGAAGAAATTCTTCTACCACGGAGAAAGGTGAAAGAAAAGACATTAAACCCAACATCTAAATGAAATCCAAATCTTAACACTTCTTCTCCATCTCCCCAATTGTTAACTAATTAACAATTACAATCCTCCCTATTTTTGGCCTTTTTGCATGATTCATAAAAAAACAGAATATATTATGTAGTATTATATTATGTAATATTACATTATATTATATTAAAACAGTATGTTTAACATATTTTTATATATTATATTACATATATTATCATATACTATATATTATATTCCATATATTATAATTTTTATTATAATTTATATTATATTACATTATGATACATTGTACTACATTATATTATACAGACTGTATGTATAAAATATGAAGAAGGACGGTATTCAGGATGTGCTCAGTGATTATCCAGCATGAGGGAAAGGAGCAGCAGGAGCTGGAATGCTGGCCAGGATGCAGAGGTTAATGCTGAAGAACAGGGCTCACCAGGAAAGGGAAGGTGATGTTCCTGCTGGATGAGGGACAGGAATTCCAGAAGCTGCTGCTTTGATTCCTGGGGGTCAGGGATAAACCCAGCATGGAGCAGGGCCTGAACTGCCAGGAGCAGATGCCCTGCCCCAGGGGCAAAGGCAGGATCCCAAAAACAGAGCCCTGGATCACTCCTGGATGCCCTGGGCTCCCTGCAGCCCCTCTGGGCTCCCTGGAGCTGGAACAGATCCGAGGCTCCCAGGGCTGGGCTCACAGCCCAGCACCCTGCCCTGGCCCTGGGGAGCACGGAGACCCAGCAGGAGAAAGGGCTGGGATGACCCTGAGCACACCCTGCAGCCACTCCAGAAAGGCCTGGCAGAGATTTCCTCCTGGATTCCCAGGGCAGCTGGACACCACTGAGTTCTCCAGCTCCTCCTCCCTGTAAATTCACCAGCACAGGCCAGAGTGAGCCAGCCAGGATGGAGCACAGAAATGCTGCAGGGCCTGTACCCCCTGAGCCAGGCTGGGAGAGGAGCAGCTCCAGGAGAGCTCAGAGCCCTGGCAGGGCCTGGAGGGGCTGCAGGAGAGCTCAGAGGGACTGGGGACAAGGATGGAGGGACAGGAGCCAGGGAATGGCTCCACTGCCAGAGGGCAGGGCTGGATGGGAGATTGGGAATTGGGAATTCCTGCCTGGGCTGGGATTGCCAGAGCAGCTGGGGCTGCCCCTGGATCCCTGGCAGTGCCCAAGGCCAGGCTGGACACTGGGGCTGGAGCACCTGGGACAGTGGGACATGTCGCTGCTGGGGAAGAAAGGAAGAGTTATTTTACCTCCTGGGGTTTCCCTGCTTTAAAGCAGAATTTCTCTTTGGATCAGCACATTCCCTGCTCTGTTCTGCTGGGGGAAGGATGTATGGGTATTTCTGGTCACGGTGGTGGGTTTGGAGTTTTATTTGTCTGAAAACAGTTTCACATCACTTAAGGTTCAGAACAATCTGTGCCATTGTTTGGATCTGCACATTCCCTGCTCTGTTCTCCTGGGGTGAAAGTGGTGTGGGCATTTCTGGTCACGGTGGTGGGTTTGGAGTTTTATTTGTCTGAAAACAGTTTCACATCACTTAAGGTTCAGAACAATCTGTGCCATTAAATCCCAACCTGTGGGATCCAAACCCTTCCTGCTGTAACACCAAAGAGCTCAGCTTCCAAAACCTCCCAGAAATGCACCTTTTCTCATAGGAATGGGACCAGGACGGGAGGTCCCGAGAGCGCGACCTGGACCTGGATTTCCTGCCCGACTTTTTGCGGCTGTAGGCGCGGCTGTCCGAGGAGCTGCTGGAGGAGGAGCGCCGCCGGTGCTTCTTCTTCCTCCTGCTCCTGCCCTCCTCCTCCGTGTCCGAGGAGCGCCGGCCCATCTCCGACCTGCGGACACAAACACCGCCCGCTGTCACAAGGGCTGCCGGCTGCCCTGCCTCGCTTTGTATTTATAGAAAATCAAAATACGCCGTTCCCTCTGCTCATGTTCCCTGGAGCACAGCCTGACTCCCCGGCTGTCCCCTCCTGGCAGGAGCTGTGCAGAGCCACAAGGTCTCTCCTTATTCCCCTTTTCCCCAGGCTGAGCCCCTTCCCGGCTCTCTCAGGCCCTCCTGGGCTCCATTCCCTTCCCAGCCTCTCCCGGGGCTCCATTCCCTTCCCAGCCTCTCCTGGGCTCCATTCCCTCCCCAGCTCCCTCATCCCCTTCCCAGCTCCATTCCCTCCCCAGCTCCATTCCCCTCCCAGCACAGACGGGTCCAACTCGCTCAATTCCTCCCTCCAAACTCCGGCCCATCCTCACACCTCGGTCACCGGGGCAGCAGCTCCAGATCCACCGGGGAGCGCCTGCAGCGAAGGGAAATTCCCCGTTAAGGCCAGCGAGCCTGCCCCGAGCGCCGCCGGGCTGCAGCAGCCCCTCCGGGAGAGCGGCCCGGTCGGGGCACGGCCCGGCCCCAGGGCAGCCCCGGGCTCCCGCAGCCGCTCCCGGCCACCAGCGGCTCCGGGGACTCCTTTCCAGGGCCCTTCCCGGCACAGCCGGATCCCCGTGCGGGCCCCGCCGGGGCCGTGCCCCCTCACCGGCGGCCGCCGCGCACAGCGGGCCCTGCAGCGGCCGCCGAGCGCCCTGCCGTGCCCTGGGGGGCGGTGCGGCTGTATCCCGTGTCCCTCCCGTGTCCCCCCGTGTCCCCCCGTGTCCCTCCCGTGTCGGGCCGGGGTCCCGCCGGGGTCCCGCTGCCCTCCGGGGTGCAGCGCCCACCGAGCGCTGTCCGCACCGTGCCCGACGCGGCGACCCCCGGGCGCGACACGCCGCGGGTGACGCGCAGGAGGGGAGCGTGGGTGGTCCCGGGGTCGGGTCCCGCTGCCCGCGGGGGGTGCAGAGCGCACGGAGCTCTGTCCGCACCGTGCCCGGCACGGCGACAACCGCGGCGACCCACGGGCGCACGGCGTGTCCCGGCCGCGGGGACGGGACCGCGGGGACAGCGGCGCGGGGCGGTTTTCGTTCCGTCCCGGACAGTTCAAGGCGAGCCGGGGTTTGCGGCACCGAGAGCCGCCCCGCGGGCGCGGGACACGCTCCACGCGCGGCGTGGGCACCGCGGCCGTGCCCGCGGGTGGGCACGGACCGAGCCGGGACCCACGGGGCCGGGCGGAGCCTCCGCCGGGCGAGGACCAGAGACGCCCCAGAACGACGGAATCGCTTCCCTTAATTCGATTCTCGCACCCGGTTTGGTTCGTTTAGCTCCCGGGAGCGCGCTCCCCGCCACGGGAACGGCGTGGGGTAAACGAAATGTCGGGGCGGAGGGGCCGGGGGGGCTCACCCGCGCCGGGACACCGAATGCCGCGGTGCCCGGTGCCCCGGGGACCGAAAACACCCCGCGGGAGCGGCTCCCGGGCGCGGGGACACCGGACACGCTGCGTGTCGCGACAGGGTCAGTGTGAACAAACCCCGGAATAACTCGGGATAAGCCCGGGCCAGCCCCGGTACCGAACCCGCCCCGCTGAACGAGCGCTCCGCTCCGTGCGGCCGTCGCCCCGCAGGTCAATGCAAAATCGATAGGCAGCAAGAGTTAAACAATTCTGAATAATTTATTGGAATTTAGCGAAGGTGGGAAAGCGGCGCGTTCCCCGGGCCAAAGCGCTCCGCCGTGGGGTGCGGAAACACAAAGGGAAACCAATACCAGCGACAGCGGCTCTCATCTGCCGCCGCGTCCCTCGCTGCCACTTGTCCCCGGCGTTTTCCGGGAACTTTGGCGCTGGCCGTGCCGGGCTGGCCGTGCCGGGTTAGCCGTGCCGTGCCGGGGCAGTGCGCTGGGCTGGCCGTGCGGGGCTGTGCCGTGCTGGCCGTGCCGTGCCGTGCCGTGCCGTGCCGTGCCGTGCCGTGCTCCCGCGCCTAATTAAATTAATTAGGGCGCAGCGCGCGGCGGGCGGGCGGTGCCGTGGCCGCAGTGCCCCGCGGCGGGCGGGCGAGCGGCGAGGACGGGAGGAAGGAAGGGGTCCATTCAGAGCTCCGAGGGGAGGTAATTCGCCGGGAACAAGGGGCCGGCTTTGCAAAGTATAAATAGTGCCACTTCAATCGCGGCGTCGCTATCAGACCCCGGGAGCCCTGCACGTCGGGCGGCACGGCCCGGCCCGGCTCGGCACGGCCCGGGGCGCCGCCGCCTCCCCGCCCCGTGGATGCCCGCCCGGGGAGCCGGGGCAGCGCGCCCCTGAGCCATGGAGGAGCTGACGGCGTTTGTCTCCAAGTCGTTTGATCCCAAAGCCAAGGAGAAGAAGGAGCTGATCACCTACCGCGAGGTGCTGGAGAGCGGGCCCCTGCGCGGCCCGCGGGAGCCCGGCGGGGCGGCGGCGGAGCCGGCGCGGGAGGACGCTCCCCGCCGCGGGAGCCCGACGCCGCCGCCGAGAGAGCGGCCGAGGCGGCCACCCCCAAGCTCAGCGACGGTAACGGCGGCACCGCGGGCTCCCCCTTCCCCCGTCCCCTTTCCCCTTCCCCCGTCGGGGTCGGCGGGCGCGGGGCGGCCCGGGGGCTGGCGGTGATGGGCGGCTGCCCGGGCTCTCCCGGCCGCGGGAGATGGGCGGCCGGCCTCGAAGTTTTTAGATTAAAATATTTAAGCCCGGGTTTAACTTGCTCAGAACGCGATCTTGTTGCCGCTCGGCATCCCACGGGAAGCCGCGCCGCCAACGAAAGCCCGGCCCCGCTGGTCCCTTCGTTCCCCCGCGGACTCGCGTGGGGCCGGGCCGCGCTGCCCACGCTCCGACCCGCCGCGGGTGTTCCGCGCGGTACCGCGGGGCCGCCCGCCGCTCTCGGGGCTGCGGGAAGCGGCCGGGCCCGTGTCCGTGGCCGCGGGGACCCGCGGGTCGCTGCCGCCCTTTTGTTTGGAGCGCCGGGAGCATCCCCGGTGGGATGCCCGCAGTGAGGGATCGGTGCGGCGGGGCCGGGCCGGGCGGCCCCGGGGGGCGAGAATTGACCAAGCAGGAACGGATGTGGGGCGCGGAGGGGCCGCGGCGGCCGGCGGACGCTGCGGGGACCTGTTGCTGCGCATCCCCGGGGGCCGCAGGGGAGGGCTCGGTGCGGACCCCGCTCCCCCGGCAGCGGTTACCGGAGGCGGCGGCGGAGCCCGGAACGGCCGCGGCCGGGCGGCCTAGCGCGGCCCGGGCGCACAGGCCCCGCAGCGGCGGGAGCCGGGCGAGCCCCGGCGCCCCCGGCCCCGCCGCTCTGACTGCTGTGTCGTGCCCAGTGTCCCCAGAGCTGAAGGAGCGCAAGGAGGATGCGAAAGCCATGGAAGACGAAGGGCAGACGAAAATCAAGCAGAGGAGGAGCCGGACGAATTTCACCCTGGAGCAGCTGAACGAGCTGGAAAGGCTTTTCGACGAGACGCACTACCCGGACGCGTTCATGCGGGAGGAGCTGAGCCAGCGGCTGGGGCTCTCCGAGGCCAGGGTGCAGGTAGCCGGGGCCGCGTGGGTGCGTGTGCTCGGGAAGAGCCGCGGAGGTGATGGGGACGAGCCCCATCCTTGTGTCAGGGAGAGGAGGCAGCTCCGCAGCTCCCCGGCTCCCGACTCCCTCCGGCAAATCTGCCGGCGGCCTCGCAGGGTTTTGCCTGCCCGGGATTTGTGTCCCCGTCCCCTGGTTCTGCCCGGGATTTGTGTCCCCGTCCCCGCGGTTTATCCCAGCTCCGCCGTGGTTCCATCCCTGCCTCGGCAGCCGCTCCCGGCTCATCCATGGACACGATTCCCGTCATGGATGTCGCGACCGCGAACTGAATTAGACACAAACAATGATAGGTGTATTGTCAGCCCGTTTCGCCTCGTAGTTCTTAAATGTTGAAACGGCACGAAAATTGAGCGAGGTGCTTTGTTCGGGTTTATGAAATGCAGAAAGTCCGGGATTAACCCGAGATGTTTTGAGCTTTCTGTCCCCCCGGGAAGCCGCGGCTTCTCCGGGTTTGCCCTGCGCTTTGCACCCTCCCAAAGTTTATTCCAAACGGGTCCCTGGGCTGCTTCCTGCGAGTTCTGTCGGGATGAGCTGAGGAGCGGGCAGGAAGGGCATCCCTCAAATGAGAACAAATGTAGCTGCTCCGGTGGATTTCCGTTCTGAAAATAAAAGAAGAGCAAATGATGGTCATTATTTGCTGGAACACATGGAGAAGTTTTAGGCCCCGAACATCTGCAGCTGGTGGAAAGTATCGCTGTAACAGATACTCCCCCTCGATCTTTGTGCTCGCAGGCACCATCTGCACCCAAGTATGCGCTCGGTCCTCGGGGGTTTCCCTGCATCGGGTAGGGTTGTGAGGACAGAGGCAGAGCCGGCACGGGGGACCGAAAAACTCAAAACGAGCAGCTTTTGTCAGAGCCTGAGCCACTAAAAAAAAAAATTGAAATAAAAAAATAAAAGTCTTCATTTTCCCCCTCTTCTCCCCCTCTTTTTTTTTGGTTTTGTTTTTTGGTTGCCTTTTTTTTTTTCGTGGCTGCTCCGTTGGTTTTTGGTTGGTTGGTTTTTAATTCTGTTTGCTCGTGGTTTTGAAATTTATTTTTTATTTCTGTTCACCAAACCCTAACAAAACCAAGGCAAAAAGTTGTTGGCTGTGGAAAATGGAGCAGGGAGGTGCTCGACAAAGGAGGCGGCGGCGGCGCATAATCCGCGCTCCCATGATGCCAAATCGCAGGGTGCATAATAACTTTTGGAGATTTACATAGATTAAACCCATTCCCTCGAAATCCTCCCGGAAAAAAACCGCTTTTCAATAATATTTTGCCTCGTATCTGCTCTAATTTGTAAATGACGGAAGGCGCGCTTGTTTCCACGGGAGGCTGAGGGCGAGCGTGGCTTTGGGCAGGTTTTCCTTGCCTGGAGAAAATGACAGGGCGGGAGGAATTCCCGTTTATATTTGTTTCTTAAAGTAAGGCCTCAAAAATTTGATTTTTTTTTTTCTCTTTTTTTTCTGGCGCGGGGAAAGGATTCCTCGGCCGATGTGGCTGCAGAGCCCTGGGTTAAAACGGGGATGTTTTAAGACCGGCTCTCCCCCTGTCCCTTCCTCCTTTCCTAAAGCCAGCAGAACTTCAGGCTGGGAATTTATTTTAACGATTCCATTTCCAATATTAAAAGTACGTTCTTGTCCAACGGGGCAGCCTCTTCGGTGCAAGCAAATTAGATTATTATGATAATGAGATAATTATTCCGCTTCTGTGCTACACTCCAGTGAACAGAGAAATTCGAAACTTCTTTGTAGCGAAGCTTTTAGGACTGTAATTCTCCTCCAGCCCCCGCAAAAAAAAAAAAAGAAAAAAAAGAAGATAAAAAGTCAGAAACCCCTGTTGTTGTTGAGTTTTTCTGTGAGATAAAGCTAATTAATTTATGTATTAATGAGCGCGATCTTCTCAGGCCATGACCACATTAGCAGAGGGTATGGAGGGCGATTCCAGCCTTTGGGAGTCTGGTGCGGAGAGGGGAGCCCGGGGCTGGGGCGATCATTTCCCTGGGGCTGCGCTTGGCCATTTTCGGGGCGTTTGGCCCCTTTCCCTTGTGCCTGTGGGAGCGGGGCGCGGGGGCAGCCCGGGCGGGGGGAGCGCAGCGCACCCTCCTCTCTTTGTCCGCGGGCTTGGGGGGCATCTTTAATGTCCATTCTCATTATTCTCGCTATCGCCGCCGTGACGCCGCGCCCCGCCGGGCCTCCCCCCGCAGGTGTGGTTCCAGAACCGGCGGGCCAAGTGCCGCAAGCAGGAGAACCAGCTGCACAAAGGTAGCGGGCCGGGGGCGCGGCGCGGGCGGGCGCGGCGCGGGCGGGCGGCGGGCGCTGCTGACCGCCGCCGCGCTCCCCCGCGCAGGGGTGCTCATCGGAGCCGCCACGCAGTTCGAGGCCTGCCGCGTGGCCCCCTACGTGAACGTGGGCGCGCTGAGGATGCCCTTCCAGCAGGCAAGTGCGCTCGGGAGGGTGGCGGGGTGGCCCCGCCGGGCCCCCCGCGGGTGACACGGGGCCGCCCCTCCGCTTGTCCCCCCGCTCCGCAGGTGCAGGCGCAGCTGCAGCTGGACAGCGCCGTGGCCCACGCTCACCATCACCTGCACCCGCACCTGGCCCACGCCCCCTACATGATGTTCCCCGCGCCCCCCTTCGGGCTGCCGCTGGCCACCCTGGCCGAGTCCGCCTCCGCCGCCTCCGTGGTGGCCGCCGCCGCCGCCGCCAAGACCACCAGCAAGAACTCCAGCATCGCCGACCTCCGCCTGAAGGCCAAGAAGCACGCCGCCGCCCTGGGGCTGTGACCGCGCTGCTGCTGCTTTATTTTTTATTTTTTTTTTCAAAAAAAAAAGGGGGAAAAATAGGGAAAAAAAAGTTAAAAAAAAGGAAAAAGGAAAGAAATGAGGGAGAGGAGAAACGGAGATATATACTTATTTAAGGAATTAGAGGACGCGCAGCTGGGAAGTTCACAGGTTTTGAAACTGACCTTTTTCTGCGAAGTTCACTTTAATACAAGAAATTTGATAAGAGAGGCGGGCCTCCTTTCACGTTGCATCAGGTACTTGAGTTTAACAACCACGTCTGGAATAGCGACAAAAAAAAAAAAAAAAGAAAAAAAAAGAAAAAAGAAAGACTACGACGAACAGAAAAAAATAGGGGAAAAAAAAGACAATGATTTCTCTGCGAATTTCTAATGGAAGACTGTCCGGGATACTTCCTCCAGCAGCATTCCGGGTTGCATGTATTTGTATTTCATTGATGGAGTCCTTTGATTCACTTGCACTTCACCCTCATCTTTAGTAGAAAAAAAAACCGAGACAACCACAAAAGCAAACAAACAAACGTGGCTGGGTTCTTTCTCCTTTAATCTTGGAGGGAAGCAGGCAGAGAGAGGCAGATCAAGCGCTGCCTTTTCCACTCTCAAATCTTTGTTGGTCGTTTGCTGTCCCACCTCTGAAATAAAAGGGAGCGGAAAGCGCCAGGAGAGCGGAGTTTGCCTCCCTTTGCCGGGTCTCTCCTGTCCTGAGGGCAAAAAATAAATGAAAAAAAGAAAAAGAAAAAAAAAAAAAGAGAGTATTTAATTCCCAACCACCACTTGACACCACGGCAAATTCCAATAAGAGGTACTGGGTACATGTAAAATATGTTGATACACACGAACAAAGTTTATTTTGGCTATAACTTGTGAATTGATAGTTGACTGTCAAACATTTACATTTTATCTCATAAAGGTGTATCTATTCACGTAACCTTGTGATTTTTTTGGTTATTATTATTATTATTTGAGAGACGTATAGCTATTTAACCTGGGGTACCCTGCAGTCAGTGATTGTTATCCCAGATTTTGCCATCTGACCCTCAAGCTTATTGCCAAGACAGAGGGAAAGCTCTTCTACGCGAACTTTGGTATGGACGGGCTTTGTATCTATTTGTTCTCCATGAAAACAAAATTATTTATATTGACCATATTTTTTCTAGTGTATTTTAAGTTATTTAAAAAAAAAAAAAAGAAAAAAAAAAAAAAAAAAAAAAAAAAAAAAAGAAAGCAAGATGCTGTTATCTCATTGCATTTGTTGTCAGTACAATATATTTTGTTTCACTCAGGTTTGCTTCACCTTTTTTAATCCATTTTCGACGTCACGAATTTTCAATAAGTGCCAAGTAATGAATTTAAGACACTTTGCCTACGGAGTGCCGGGGGCCGGTGCCAGCTCCCTGTCGGTGCCAGCCAGCGGTGATGTTCTTTCTGTCCCGTCTCCTCACCTCCTGTAGATCTCGCTCGTTTCTTTCCGCCCCGCAGATGTCGCGACACGCCGATAGCGCTCAGCACGACGAGGAAGCGCCGCTCGCCTCCGCGCAGCTTTTTTTAAATATTGTTTTTCCTCCGCTTTCCGTGAGTTTCCCCCGAGTTTCGGCTGCACACACCGGGCCGTTCGCGTTGGGTGTTCTGCGGCGGCCGAGCCGGCCGGCGGATGCTCTTACAGCAATTGTGTCTTTGCGAGTTCTGTCAGGTTCCCTCAGGTAATAAAAGCGAGCAAAGCGGAACGGCTCGGAATCTTTTCCAGGGAGGGATCGGGGGGACCGGGAACCCCTGAGCCCGGGCAGAGCCCGAACCGAGCCCGGGCAGAGCCCGAACCGAGCTCGGGTAAAGTCCGCACCGAGCCCGGGTAGAACCCGCACCCATCCGGGTAAAGAGAGCCCGAACCGAGCTCGGGTAAAGCCCGAACCGAGCTCGGATAGAATCCGCACCCATCCGGGCAGAACCCGCACCGAGCCCGGCTAAAGCCCGCACCCGCACCGCTCCCACCGAGCGCTCCCGGGGGCTCCGGGCCGGGCGCTCCCCCCACGCCGGGATTCTCCCCCCGGGGCGCTGGGAAGCTCCGGGAATTCCCGGCGGGAGGAGCCGTTCCGGGGCCGGCGGGGGATGCGCAGCCCCCGAGCCCCCGCCGGGGAAGGGCTGGGAAATGTTGGGAAGGGTCGCGAAAGGTTGGGAAGGGTCCCTCGGGCCGGCTGCGGCACCGCGGGCAGCGATGGGAGAGCCCGAGGTGTCCCCGCGGGATGGGCAGGGACAAGGACCGGGACAAGGACAGGCACAGCCCGAGCCCTCCCGAAGAGGCCCCAACCATTCCTGTGCTAATAACGGGCTGGAAATGATAGATTTTACATTAGGTAAAACGGCTTTATTCCAGCAAAAGTAAGATGCTGCTAATTATAAAGTCAATAAAAGTACCGGTGCTGTCGATTGATCCCGAATAGAGCAGTTCATTAACATGTGCATGGGAGCACGGCAGGCTCAGCCCGGCCTCAGACACCCTCTGCCTCCTCCAAATAAACCTGCCAGGTCCTACCTGCTCTGCTTAAAGCACCACAGGTTGAGGTGGAGCTGCCCAGCAGCCTTGTGCAGGTTTTTGGGGGTGGAACTCAAACATAGTGGGAATCTCAAACCTTCCCCCAGCTCCTGGCATGTCTGTCTTCAAGATGGTTGTAATAAAAAATCAGGGAAAATGGGCTTTCATCCTATCAGGGAAGGTGATTGGATGGTGTGAGAGAACTGTGTGGTTTTTAGCACAGCTGTGATTAAAATAAAATAGCCTTAACGGGATGGTTTTGGACAGGAATACTCACATTCCTGGTTTCCTTGGACTGGAATCCCTAATAAGTCTACAGGCCAACAGAAGTTGGCCAGGACTCTTCTGTTTCTATTTTACTTCTTAGAGTGTCTGAACCTCTATAAAACCCCGTAATTCCCCCAAATTCAATTATGGATATTTCAGAACGAGCCAGCTCTCACAATCTGTGCTTCCTGCAGATAAAACTTTGGTGTGGGAGTGACAGGGAGGCGTGCTGGCCTGAGCAGGGGGCTGGAGAGGGGATCCAGAAATGCTGCAGGAAGGAGCAGCCACCTGCTCCTGCCCTGGCAGAGCCCGTGGGGCTCCCAGCAGGGCCCAGTTTGGGTTCTGCGGGGCTGAAGGAGCAGCTCCCACCTTTTGTTGTCTCTCTGCAGCCAGAGCCCTGGCAGGGAGCTCCAGCCCCACAGGTCCTGCCTGGATCTCAGCCCCGCACCACAATTTTGGGAAGGAGATGGCATGTGTGCAAACGTGCTGAGCCCTGGGCACAAACCTGCCGTGTCCGTGGTGTCTCTCAGCCCAGCTGCCTTCCAGGCCAGGCTCTCAGAGCTGCCTTTGGGGGAGCAGCCTGGGAAAAGCCCCCGAGCCTGTGTGGGATCCAGCCCTCGGATCCCTGGGCAGCCGCGGGATGAATGATGTGCTGTGCTAGCAGGACAGCCTGTGCTCTTTCCTGCCCAGTAAATATTGATACTCGTTCAATTTTGTGGCTGTTCCCGTTTTGCTTGCCCTTGAATCCTCAGTGCCTGGCTATTTCCGAGCCTGCTTCCCTCGCTGTGAGGTGCCAGCAGGTGGAAGGGCACCTTGAAGCTCACCTCCTGCGTGGCTTTGAGGAATAAAAGCAGACCTGGATCCCTTTGGTGGGCAGCAAAGTTCTGCAGGGACCTGGAAAAGTTGTGCTCATTTTCAAATTCCACTTCCCTGCGTTCAAGCAGTGACTGGCCCTGGTTTTCCTGGAGGATCCAGTGAGTGTTCCCAGCCACGGGAGCTGTCACTACTCACACTTTACACCAGCGCTCAGCCTTCTCTCCAGGTGTTCTTTGGGCAATTAAGTTGGTGTGAGTGAAGGAAATGCTCAGAATTTTCGACACCCCGAGTGTCCCTGCTCTGCTGGCAGACCCCGGGGGCTGGGATGTGTCTGTGCTGCTTTGCCAGCTCCTCCTGCCCCAATTCCCGAGGCAGAACCAGCCGAGCCACCAGTGCCCATCAGCCCTGTGCTGTGACAGGGGCAGAGCCCAGGAACCCTCCCTTCCCCGTGTGAGGCTGGTTTTGGGCGCTGCTGCCTGCAGGAGCTGCGGGAATCTGCCGAATCATCCGTGTGCATCCCGGGCTGTGCCCACAGCCCGCTCCTGCTGCACGGGCAGCCTCGCCTCCAGCAGGGCTGCTCTGTGCTCACCACAGCCTCAGCTTTTCCTAGAGAGGGAAGGGGAGCTTTTCTCTGCTCAGGGAGAGAGGTTTGGGAATGTTTTCCTCCATAACAAAAGGTTTATGGCCTTTGCAGGGCGGGCACACTGCTCCTTTTCCACAGGGAAAAATCACCCAGGGAAAGATTCTGGGAGAGGGCTCCAAAACGAGGAGGTAAAAATGCACAAAAGGATCCAGGGGCACTTTGGCTTTCTCAGCAGCTACAGCCAGCCTGAAAGCTCCGAGGATACAGAGCTGGGGCTGGTAAAACACAGTGCCATGGACACCTTCCTCCAGCTCACTCAGGGAGCACAGCACAGTTGGAGCAATGCTTCCAGGAGTGCAGCTGCAGCTCCCTTCAGGCTGGGATCCCCTTGTGGAGGGTGACACCACGCTGGTGCTCTGTGGGGTCACCCATGGTCCTGCAGGGCACCCCAGGTGTGTGCAGCCCCAGCACATCCCCTCCCTCTGGCAGCTCTTTGCAGCTCCCACCCTGGACCAGGCAGGCAGCCCCCCCAGCTCTGACCTGCCCAGCAGCTGTGCACATCCAGCTGTGGGGTTTGGGATGCCCAGCTCAATGTGTGCCCTGCAGCAGGGCTGTCACTCGAGCCTTTTGGCGTCCTGGGTGTGCACGAGGTGCTCTCCTGTCACCATGGAATGGGAGCTGTGCTCAGGACTCGGTGGCTGTGGGGCGCACTGACCCCTCAGCTCCTGTTCTGTGTGAAATCAGCTGTTTCACACCTCCCGTCGCTCTCCCTCCCCAGCCCTGCAGAGCCCCGGGGAGAGGCTGACAAGCTGCACACTCTCTGTACCAGGGAAACATTTTGTCACTCCCACGTCAGGCAGCCACTGCCACCACTCCTGCTTCCACAGCAATCCAAACCCAGTGTGCTCTGCTCCTTCCCGGGGACAGAGCTCCAGCTGGATGCAGCTCCACACAGGTGGAGTCATCCCTGCTGGAGCCGCCCAGGCTGGGGAGAGGGTTTGGGAAATAAGGATTGTCTGTGTGCTAAACAGTCTGGAATCATGGGATGGTTTGGGTTGGAAGGGACCTTAAAAATCATCTCTCTCCAGTGCCACCCTGCCATGGCAGGGACAGCTCCCACTGTCCCAGGTGCTCCAGCCCCAGTGTCCAGCCTGGCCTGGGGCACTGCCAGGGATCCAGGGGCAGCCACAGCTGTGCCAGGGCCTACCCACCCTCACAGGGAACAATTCCTTCCCAAATCCCATCCATCCCTGCCCTCCATCACTTTGAAGCCATCCCCCCTTGCCCTGCCTCTACATGCTCTTAGAAGAAACATTTGAATTTTGGAAGCGACCAGAAGAAGACACAAGGATGTCCCTGAAGATGATTTTAAGTCAGTGACTGAATTCTGCTGAGGGCTGGCCCAGGTGGATGCAGAGCTGATGCTCCTGGTGTGCCAGAGCATCCAGGAGGGGGTTTGGCACCCCGGCACAGACAGCAGTGTGCAAACTGTTATTACTAACAACAACACACTTCCCACCCTCTCATTGTCCTTTGAGTAAATATTTAAGCAGTGGAAACTTGGCTTGCACTTCCCCAGACTGGCAATCTGCTGGAAACTGAGATCCTGCCTGGATCCCCTTACAAAATCCCTGTGAACACTCAGAACATCTTTTTCACCACTCCTCCGCTTTATGTACACACTTTAATTATTATGCAGATTCTCCTTTAGGAAATATTTGGATTTGGAAGTGTTTGGCCATGTGGTAATCTTTAGGAAGAAGGTAAACATAGTCTTTGTAAAAGAAAATGTAAATAAAGAATTGCCCCAAAATATCTCCGAGAGGTTAAATGCGGGACAATGGGAACCACATGGAAATGCTCCTGCTGTCCCTGGCAGGAAAGCCAGGGATGTTCCCAGTGACTCTGGTGACTGCAGCAGGAATTCTGCTGGGGTGAAGTCCTGACCCTGTAA